GAACTTGTTTTCGCAGATTCCGTTGTTCTGCCTTCTTGCGCCTGTGAGTGATTTTATATACTGTTTACAGCTCCTGCGCTGTTGTTTTTGTGCGTATTGGATACGCAGTGTTTGGAACCGCGCGATGACGTGTGGAAAAGGCTTGCTCATAACTCAGAGAAAGTTAGGGAGATGGATGATTTCGATGAGGACACGCGCACGAATTGCGATGCAGTAGCACAAATTTCTTGGGGTGGATATTTTGTTTGCGGTATGATTGTTGGCTTTCTCTTGGGCACCGCTGGCGGCATTATTCTGGGTTTCGTCTGCTGGAGGATACGAGTACACAAAGACCCTGCAAAAACATAGCTGATATTGAGATTATGCGGACAAAATCTTCAGTGTTTCGCCGCTTCTAATCGTACAGAACATCAGTTCCGGACGAGGACAGCAGAAATGCAAAGAACGTAACACTGAGATGGAAAACATTCCAATGATTGATGTCCTTTGCAGTGATCAATATTCCTTGTTTATTATTGCTCCAAATTTCATTGTAAATAAAGATATGCACTGAATGATATAAGTAATAATTTTAAAACAAAACAGTGCGGGAAAAGACTGAAGTAAGAACTATAATTCCAAGCAGGAATGTTTCAGTCCATTAATTCGCGCACATTTCTATTTAGCATGTTACAGTACATCAGCGCACAATACTGGCCAGTACCGTATTTGAGTTACGGTTCAATAACTGCATCTCCAGTAGGTGAGAGATATTTCTTCTCCTTCTTACTCCTTTCCCCCAGCCTTCTCCCCGTGGCTGAACCAAGCTATGTCAATTGCAGTTGATGGCTAATGATAAAATTTTTCTGGGCTTCATCTTGAAGCTAAGGATTGCATGATGTTAAGAATTTCACTGCACTTTCATCATCAGACATACTTAACACGGTGAAGAATCTGCTGAATAAATTGAATGGCCGCAAATTATTAGCTGTAGCGAATTAAAAATGTTGCTGGCAAAATTAATGCCTAGAGGCATTGATGAAATGATGACAGCGCATCGGAATTGCCCTTAGTAGGACTATTTTGATTTCATTTGCGGCTTCATTTCACATGTAGTTCTATAACTTGTCAAATTGATTTTGCAGTCCAGAATCCAAATTCTTTTGCTTTTTTTGCGTCGTCCCTCGTTATTTTAATTTACCAAGCGTAATGTGATGAGACAACGCTCGGTGATGTGGATGTCGGCTCAGCCACTGGAGAAGACCAGAAATGAAGAAGTGACGACAGGGAGCCGTTTCATGTGTTTCATGTATGTATATGTAAGCGCAGCGTGAATAGAATTAGCGTTGATTTCAGTCAAATATTTCGTATGTCACTCACATATTTCGATCTAATTAGCTCATTTTGGTAGAGTATTGACAAAGGACTAGGCAGTACTTGGATGGTACAGATTATGAACGACTGGCCAGTGAGTGTCATTAATGTCATGCGGTTATTTGCTAGAAGTACGTTTTGCTTTGTGACATGGCTTTGGAGACAAAATGTATAAAGAAATGTTTGAGAAAAGACCAGTTTTCGTGTGCCAATAATCACTGAATATAGAGCGACAGCGAAATGGCTCTACTTGGTTCCCTGGAAAAGGTGTGTTTGGGACAAATCACAAATGTGCTCAGTTTTGCCAGGGATTTTTGAAAAAACCTAAGGAGGCATGATACCAACCATCATCAGCAAAGGGCTTTTTTT